GGGGATAAAAATATTAACAACTACATTTCCATACAAGGACTTTTTGAGATATTTCCTACAATTAATTAGGGATTTAAGAAAAATACAGCAAAGAAAAGGTTGTGATACTTACGTTGTGCTCCATTATTATGATTTGAATTATAGTAATTTGTACTTCATTTCAAAGATTTGTCATATTCTTTAAATAAATGTTAATTTAAAATGTTATTTGGAACTTTTGGTTTGTTTTTCGCACATTATTTGTAGAATCGAATCTGTTTTGAAATAATCTTTTAGCATAAGGGATTGATTCAATCATCTATAGAATGTATGGTTTCTCCGGTAATATTCTAGGTTAGAAAGGTTGGCACGTTACTTAAACAAAAGAAAAAAAAATTTTAAAAATCATATAAATCTTATTTTCTTCCGTAAAAAATGTGCGTGCGAGGGTTACCCAGGGCTCTGTTCCCTGACCGACTTTTATTTTTAATATATCTGTGAATGATATAGCTGAAAAATGATACATGTTTGCATATTATTTGCAGACGATAACTCTTTACAAAAAGCTCAAGTGACGAATGCACCTCATTGAGCAAAATCTAAACCATGACTTAAATTCTGGATGAGTAGTCAAAAAAAGTTATTGAAATACAATCCATGTAATAAAACATAAAGTATGATTTTTCAGTTTAAAACTACAAACCAATTGCCTGCATTTTTAGGGAACTACACAATATGTTACACAATATAAACATCTTGGTGTTATTTTTATACCCCTAATTTGGAGATGTGTGGTATTTCCTCGAATAAGTAAATGAAAAGGTCTTTTATATGTATTTTTAACAAAGACAAACTGATTGTTTTTTCCAAAAACTGAGAGTAGATATAGAAAACGCTCATCCTCTTAAGTTGTTTAAATATCTAAACCGACTTTACAACAGGCTGACTATCTTAATTACATATATTATGAAAAACACAGAAAAGCATTAACTAGACTCAGATTATCTGCTCACTGTCTACGCATTGAATCTGGTAGATATGATAAAAAATGTCCCACAAGTGAACGGAAATGTATATTTTGTACATCAAACCAAATAGAAGACGAATATCATTTTGTTCGAATATGTGACTTCTATACTGAGTTAAAAAAAATAATATTAAAATATATTATTATGTAAGACATAGTATGACAAAATTTATTGAATTACTTAATTTCGATTCAGAAAATATATTTTAAAAACTGGGGAAATTTGTGTTTGAATGTTTTAAAAAGAGGGAAAACTTTACCATACAGAAATATTTATAATACAAAAGACACCTGCCTAGTTCTTTTTACTTCCTTTTGTTTTCTAATTTTTTTTATCTACATATTTGTGTAAATTATGTAATAGCACCTGTGTAACACCTGTTAACCGATGTATATAAAGTAATGTTATAAGTGGCAATGTCTGCAATGTATAAGCCAATAAAGGTACTTCTCTCAATATCAAAGATTATAGGTATAAAGGTATAAAGTTTTTTCCTGTCTATCCGTCTGTCTGTTTATTTGTCTGCAAAACTTTTACCTTGGCCATAAATTTTGAGTGGGTGGGAATAAAGTTACTACTAGCAGAGTTAAAAGGTGTATTCCTTGTGACAAGACCTTTCTTCAAGTACCAACAAATTTGACCTCGTGACCTTGACCTTAAAAATTATTTACTTCTCTAGTGCAGCCTACTTGTGTGCCAAGTTATTTTAAAATCAGATCAGAACTATATGAGGAGTGGCGTTTTGAAAAAAATTCAGTGTATTCTCATACACCAGACCCCGACCAATTTATACCATAACTGATACAAAGCAAACTTGGGAATTCTGTGAGGAGATTCATCAGGAAAATGTCTTCTGTCATTACATTTTCTTTACCGCAAGTAGAAGTGAAAAACTACAAAATAAGTGATAAAAATCAATAAATGGGTTTAATTTTTATCCATGATTAAAAGTTTGATCCAAGATCTCAATGGTAGATAATTTTGAGAACAAATATTATTTTAAAAAAATAAGAAGAAAAATGAAAAAAAGGTAGATGAAAGATGACGAAAAATTATATAGACAATAAAAAGAGAATGATTCTACGAAAAAAAAAATACGGAAAGATAAATATAATGATGATGGTGATGTTGATGATGATGATGACGATGATGGCAGTGGTGCTGAGGTATGAGTGGTCATGACGACACTTAGTTGAACTGGCACACATAAAGTCATGTAAACGAAGCCTATACATCTAACGAAACACAGATCTCTGGACTCTAAGGGGGGTAGAAGTCTTGAGAATCATATCAATCTTTAAAACAGTTTTTTCAGCTTCATTCCGATTCTCTCCAGTACGGTAGGTCTCCTACACCGGGACTTTATGTTCAGCTCCTCTTTTCCAGTCTCCATATCTTCTCCTTTTGCCAAGTTCAAGGTTTTCAACTGATGTTGAAATCATTTAATCTGTAATAATGAAATTGATTTGTTATAAATAGCTGTGGAGGAATATTCTAAAGGATAAAGGATCAACGAGAAACACAAATTAAATTTAAGATGCACTGGGCCCGACCTGGAAATTGGAAGTGTCCCAGAGGTATAATAGCACCTACATTGAAAATAGTCTCGTCTCCGTCTGCCAAACTTTTTATGTAATGTTTCGCGGTTTCTCATTTCCTGAAAAAAGAAGAAGATCAAATTAATATTGAAAAATCATACCTGAATATTCTGAACGGGTTTGGAGTATACAAGTTCGTCTAACGGAGATAAATTCTCTGTCAAATACAATATCAAAGTAAAAGAAAATTGGTTGTTAATAACCGACACAATAAAATAAACTTACCACAGTTTGCAAAATGCACCAAATGTTCGGACCACAGTCCGTTGTGTGTGGCAATGGCTTTGTCTGAAATTCCGTTTTTATTTCTAAAAGCCTCCAGGAAAAGATATGAGAAGATTATGTATCTTTTCTGTTGCACTGGTAATAAATTAAAGTAGATAGATATATTGTAATTAAACGGGTTTGTAATCCTCTTTGAACTTTTCACAAATCAAAAGAAGTTTACATTTCATTGTCTTACCTGCAACTTTTTCGTTGTGCGAATACGTAAATCCATATTTGCCTGTTGTCTCTTTTCCGAATAAAAAGATGACCATCTGTAGAATGTTTCGTCTCTAGAAAGTAAATGAAAAGAATTAAAACATGAACATTCTTGATTATCTTAAATACATTTCATATCCACCGATTTGTGTAAATAGTTTGTAGCTTTATTCATTTCATTAAAAAAAAGGAAATTATCAAAAATAAATTTAAGTTCCTAATGAAGCTCACCACTGCAGTCATTGATCCGGTCTTTGTTTTTAACAAATAATCTTTCGAATGTTTCGTCTCTAGAAAGTAAATGAAAAGGAATTAAAGCATGAACATTTCTGATTATCTTAAATACATTCCATTGATTGATGTAAAATAGGTTATAGCTTTATTTATTTCAAAAGAGTCTATCAAAAATAATAAGTTCCTGTTGAAGCTTTTTTTAACTCTGGAAAATTTTCATTGAAAGGCTGACCACATGCACCCAAAAACACAACTTTTTTTTTTTTTATTTTTCTATATAAACAAATAATGTAATGTATTGATGAAAATCGAACAAAAACAATACCCTTTTAAATTTATCAGTTCCTGTTGTTATGAAAGAAAGTGCCCCACCCCAATAAGATTTTCGAGTTTTGACATTTTTTTCCTGTCAAAATTGTTTTGCAGTAAAGCTTTTTTTCTGACACCCCCTTCCCCTTCAAAATTGAAGATGAAAATCGAAAATGAAGGAAATATTTTTCATTCGCAAATTCAAATTATGTATAATATTTTATCTAAAAAAAATGTTTTCTTTACAGTGGAGGACTGTATTCAAGCATATCGGATTGAAGACGGAAACCCAGTAATTCTACTGGTGTCTTAGCACTTGTTATTGAGTAGCAATCTCAAAAAAAAAAACATTTCAATTCAACTTGTACAGCTGAAACTCAAGGATAATATTAGAAAAATACTATTATGTACTAGTATATGGTTGTATAGTTTTAGCTACTATACAGAGAGAACTAAAAACAGCTCATGCCATACTGAGTGATTTTTTCCGTCTTGGTGATTTAGCACGAGAATATTTTCTTGTAGTATTAATATCTTCTTACTATTTTGTTATCATCAGTATTAAATTTCATGTGTGATTTTTTTTTTAATTCTTAACTTGTCGCCCGCATGGGGCAGTGATAAGAGTGTTTGCTCTTTATAGTCGCAAAGTCTCACGTCGCGGGTACGAATCCCGCTGCGTGATTTGGAGGCCAGTGTTTCGGGTCTTGTATTGCAGGAGATGGTGGCGACGAAAAGAACACTCTTTTTTAAGACCATAAATTCTGAGTACAGATATTAATTTGCAGCCTTCCATCGGCAAGCGATGGCTTTTCAATGTGAGTAAAAAATTCTTGATCGTGCGTTAAAAAACACGCAAATCTGTGTGTCAAGTTATTCAGAAAACGAATCCAAACTGTAGAAGTTACTGCAGCATTTTGAAGGCATTTCATGAACATGTCTACTATGCTTAACTATAGCTACATCTTTCATTAATTATACAACATTAATAAAACTATGTATACCTTACATACATGTAGTGAAGTCTACGTGTGTATTTTGAAATCAGACTAAAACTTTTGGAGGAGTGGCGTTTTGAAAGAAATACAGCTACATTCTTTGTACACCAGACTCTGTCCAATTTATATCATAACCGATCGACCCAAAGCAAACTTGGGGAGATTCATCAGGAAATATGTCTTCTGTCATGATAAACTTAGAATGTAGAAATGTAGAAGTGAAAAATAACAAGTGATAAAAAGTGATAAATGAGTTTAATTCTTATCACTGATTAAAAGTTTGACTCAATTATATACATGCACATGTCAATATCTCAATTTTGAAAACATATTATATTATTTTAAAAAATTAAGAAGAATTAACATGAGAAAAAAATTTAAGTAGATGAATGATAATGAAAAAAATAAAGACACAAAGGAGAAAATTATACGGGGAAAAAAACGATTAAAAAAGGAAAAATAAATATGATGATGCTGCTGCTGATGATAATGTTAATGATGATGATGAAGATGTCGATGGTGGTGTTGAGGTATGAGTAGTCTTGATTCTCTGGATTCTTAGTTGAGGTTTTGAAACTTCGTGGTAAAAAGTCTTGAGAGTCACATTAATTTTAAAACAATTTTTTCAGCTTCATTGCAATTCTCTCGCAGAGGTTTGGTCTCCTACACCGAAATTTGATAATTTTCATCTCCCCCTTTTCCGTCTTTTCATCATCTTCTCCTGTTGCCAAATTCATGGTTTTCAACTGATGTTGGAATCTTTTAATCTGTAATAATGAAATTGATTTGTTAATTTTATAAATAACTAGATGAAATTCTAAAGGATTAACATACGAATTAAATTAAGATGCACTGAGCCCGACTATAAGATTGAAAGTGTTCCAGAGATGGTACTTACATTGAAGTCAGTCTCTTCCCTGTCCTCCAAAATTCTTATATATTGTTTTGCTGCCTTTTCGTTTCCTAAAGAAAAAGATCTGATTAGTATTGATGAAAATTAAACCTGATTATTCTGAACAGGCTTGGAATATATAAGTTCGTTGAACAGAGATGTTAAAAAACGTTCTCTGTCAAATATATCAAAGTAAGAGGATATTTGGTTGTTAATGACTATGAATCAAACTTACCACAATTGGCCAGGTGCTGCAGATGTTGAGACCACAGATTGTTGTGTGTTACAATGGCCTTGTCTGAAATCCCGGTTTTCATTAAAGCCTCCAGGAAAAGATAGGAGAAAATTATGTATCTCTTCTGTTGCACTGGTAATAAAAGTAGATAGGTACATTGCAAACGGGTTTGTAATCTTCTTAGAACTTTTAAGAAATCAAAAATAGGGTTTGAATTTCAATCTTACCAGCAATGTCTTCTTTGTGCGAATATATAAATCCATATTCTCCTGTTGTCTCTTTTCCAAATAAAAAGATTATCATTTGTAGTACGTTTCGTCTCTAGAAAGTAAATGAAAAGAATTAAAACATTTACATTCTTGATTATCTTAAATACATTTCATATCCACCGATTTGTGTAAATAGTTTGTAGCTTTATTCATTTCATTAAAAAAAAAAGAAATTATCAAAAATAAATTTAAGTTCCTAATGAAGCTTACCACTGCAGTCATTGATCCGGTCTTTGTTTTTAACAAATAATCTATCAAACTTGATTCAAGGCACTCTTCCAACGTCTTATCACCAAATCTCTCCATATTTGAAGATTTAGTTGTTTCAGAGTCTCAGAATATTCCAAAGTTTTCTTGCCAACAGAAATGCTTTGCAACCTCTATGACGTTAGTCTATTATGACGTATTCTTATTATGACGTCATCATATTAATACTGATGACTCGTGCTAACCCGATTGTAATTGTTTAATCATGCATGCATCCTTTATAGATTCTCTTTAAAATATTCTGCCCGTCAATTATGCACAACAATTTAACCTCACCTGGCATGATGAAAAAAAATTACTACCCATCTGGCACTGTATAGCCTCATAGACAATACTTTTAGCAAATTTTATTGTACATGACATGGATATGCTAATGACGTAACTTCTGGCAGTCTATTGTATTTTGCTTAGGGCATCGATTCAACTAGGCTCAATTTTGGATATGCAGCAATGTCAGCCACCAGGGCCAACAAAGACGTAACGGCGGGGGAGGGGTAAGGGGGGAGGGTCATAACAGACTCGACCTCAATATTTCCAGAATTGGGTCTGTACCTTTTCATACCATCTTGTCACTCGGAATTATGTAATAGACATTGCATGGCTTACTGAAGAGGGCAATATTCAAAATTTACATAGATTCTTACATTATTCATTCAGTGTATATAAATGAGTAATAATAATCAAATAAGAATATCACACACTGTATAATTCGTGTTTCTTGACCCAAATAAGTGAATAGGACCGACAAATGTGGGAAAAAAGTAACGAGTTCTTAAAATCTCATTAAATTACTTCGATATTTAACGATTTTAGATGACGATGATTAATAGAAGGGGTATGTTAACTTTGTTTTGTGTGATTAACCCCTCATCAACGGGATTAATTTATAATGCTTGATGTGACTGTACTAGATTTAAAAAGAATAAATAGACTTAATTTAACTTAAACAATATATTTTTATTATTTAGGTACTGCCTATAAAAGTCGTCTTCATAATAAATAGACCTAAGGATGTACATCCCCCCCCCCCCATCCCCGAAATTCTCTCGTTCAATTTTCTATATTTTTCTATATTTAAAACTATATATATTCAATGGTTATGCAAAATTTGGACTAAAATCGTTCGAGTTCTATTTGGACAGAAAGTTCCGAATGTAAACCACCACCCTCTTAGCCTGTTCATGAGGTAAAGACATTTTCAAACTGTTAGATTGTGGGGTATTTGGTAGACGATGGACCCAGAGTGATGAACACATGGAAGCTGAACACATTTATTTTAAGACATAACAGACTCGCACACAAAACAAAAGAAATTATCTGATTGGCTAATAATGATACAGCATCAACTGGTTTTACTAATAAACGAAAGTCAGTAAAAGGTCAAACTAATAACAGGAATATAACATCCTCCTCATTTTACAAAAAAATGAAACTGTCATTGAGATGTAAACATAATAAAGCTTATACAAAACTGTTCATTTTTTAACATCAATCTGAAAATCCTTAAGATGCGAAGGTAGGTTAACTGTCCTGCCAGATCGCGTTTTCACTGCTGAATCAGCCTTCGGAGCTGATGTGGTAATACGAGCATCAGGTAAGTTTGGCATCGGTGCCGGAGGTACAGTGATACGTGGTTGCACAGGCTGTGGGCTGACCTTAACTGGTGACTTGGGTTTAGTCGGTGTTTTTGGAGTAGGTACTACAGACGGTGCAGGCACAGGTATGTTAGGTGAAAAGGTCATCACTGGAGGTTCATTGGTAGCCTTAAGGTGTACTCGATTGCGTCGGTATATGCGGTCTCCAGAACTGACTTCATAGGAGCGATCATCTAGACGACGGATGACTTGACCTTTAGCCCAAGGGGCTTTACGGTTAACAAAAGGTTGAAGACGAACCACATCACCTTCCTCGAGAGGCTTGAGGGCCTTTGATTTTCTGTTGAAATAGCTTTTCTGTGTTTCCTGTCGCTGCAGGATCTTACGGTGAATATCGTCAGTCTGTATGCCTTCTGGTCGGAGTAGGGTGGTTGTCATTGGTAAAAGCGTACGTGTACGGCGACCAAGAGAGCGCTGTACAGGGCTGGTGTTCTGTCCTTGGGTCGGTGTGTTCCTGAGATCAAGTAGTGCCAGATACACATCCCTTCCAGACGCCAGAGCTTTTTTGATGATAGTCTTTGCTGTTTTTACTGCAGCCTCAGCTTTTCCATTGGCTTGAGAATTTCCAGGACTACTGGGCTGATGTCTGAAGTCATATTCTTCTGCAAAGTTCAGAAACTCGAGACATGAGAATTGGGGACCGTTGTCCGAGACGACAATCTCAGGTAGTCCGTATCGAGCAAAATGATACTTCATTCTCTGGATGACATTGATTGCAAGTGTTTGGCGCAGTTCATCAACCTCAAAGTATCCAGAGAAGTAGTCAACGAGAATGAGATAGTTGATGTTGTTGAGCGTGAAAAGGTCAACACCAACCTTAGACCATGGTCGGTCTGGGACATCATGGGGCGAGAGTGGCATCTTGGTATTTGCCACTTCCATGCTGCGGCATGTCTCACATTGTGAAATGAATTCCTTTATGTCGTTACTCATGTTCGGCCAGTAGAGACATTCAGCTGCTCGTCGACGGGTGCCAGTAATACCTAGATGAGAGCTATGGAGTCTTTCTAGCATACTTTTACGGAGAGTCTGAGGAACTACGATCCTGTCTCCACGGAGAATGATACCATCCGTAAAAGAAAGTTCACTTCTGTAGGATGCATAACGTCCTACCACTGGAGGTAGTTCAGTTAAGAGGTCAGGCCAACCTTCCCGAATAGTTTTGCGAAGAGCCTGTAGGGTCTCATCCTTAGCAGTGTGGCGTTGTATCTCTTTGATACGCTCAGGGGAAATGGAGATATGTTGAATAACATTGATGTCAATTATGTCATCCTGTTTACCCATTCCTGTGTCAGACGGGTACGCACGTGACAGTGTGTCTGCTATGTGCATCTCCTTGCCCCTGTGGTACTTAACAGTTATGTCATACTTTTGGAGTCGTAGTTTCATTGCCTGTAGGCGTTTTGGAGCTTTCCAGAGAGAGCCTGGGATGATAGTCTCTAGCGGTTTGTGGTCAGACTGTACCACCACATGTCGAGCAAATGTGTAATGATGAAACTTCTCCAATGCAAAAACTATGGCCAGAAGTTCCTTCTCGATCTGAGCATAGTTCGCCTCAGTTTCCGTGAGTGCTCGGCTAGCATATGCTATTGGCTTTCCTTCCTGTAGAAGGGCTGCTCCTAAGCCTCTTTGGGACGCATCGCACTGTATGGTAAGTGGTTTCTTATCATCGTAGTATTGGAGATGATTTTCAGAGGATAGTATTTCTTTCACTTTGTTGAAAGCCTTACGTTGCGGTTCATCCCATCTGAACTCAATGTGCTTTCGTTTGAGCATGTTTATCGGTTCCATTATTGTAGCTAATGATGGAATGAAGTCTGATAGAAAGTTCACTGTTCCACATAGTCTGTGTACACCATGTAAGTCTGTTGGTGCTGGCATGTTGCAAATGGCAGCTACCTTATCGGGGTCTGGTAGCACACCTTTGTCAGTTACAAGGTGACCCATGAATCCTACCTGGGAGAGTCTCAGCCGCATTTTCTTCGGATTGAGTCGGATACCAACTGCTTGGCATCGCTGGAGAAATGCTACTAACTTTTCATCATGGTCTCTCATGGCCTCTTCCTTAGTCTCACCAACACCATAGAGTAATACATCATCTGCGATGTTCAGAATCCCTCTCAAGTCACCTATAGCCTGATATAGACGTCGCTGGAACATCTCTGAGGAAACACTGGTACCGAATGGGAGTCGTAACCAACGGTACCTTCCGAATGGTGTGTCAAATGTAGTCATGTGACTACTTTCATCATCCAGCCTTACGTGCCAGTAGCCATGACGGAGATCAAACGTTGAGAACACCTTTGCGTGTGCCAGATCTGGTAGCATCTCACGGAGTACAGGGAGATGAAAATGTTCACGTTTTAGTGCTTTGTTGAGATGCTCTGGGTCTAAACATAGTCGGAGTTCACCGTTTCTCTTAGTGGTACATACAAGGTGACTGAGCCAATCGGTGGGCTTGTTAACAGGAGCTATGATGGCCTTCTTTGTCAGATCCTCTAGTGCTTCCTTTAGTTTTGGTTTCATGTGGACTGCAACCTTCCGAACTGGCGATATAACTGGTGAGACTGAGGGGTCAACCTCAAAATGTGCTACTCCAGGGAGTTGTCCTATTTTGTCCTCAAATACATCCTTGTACGCAACAGTCGGACAGACGGAGTACACAGAGTTCACTCGCTTGAACTCGTCCTGATTTATGGTAATGAGTCCCATTTGAGTACATGCATTGAGTCCGAGGAGTGGAGTTAAGTCCTCATTGACAACTAAGAACTTGACTTTGTACTTGGTCCTGTTCTTGTGATTGACTAATTTCAGAATACACTCCCCGTGAGGTTCCATACGCGAGCCATTCCACATCACTAGAGTACTGGTCGATGGAGTAATAGTAGTGTCACCAATCCATTTCTTTCCAATAAGATTGTTAGAAGCACCGGTGTCTATCTGAAATGCTATTGGTTGATCGTTAACCATGAGTTCCGCACAGAGACGTCCAGATACACCTGCAATGTTAGTACTGACTTGTCTAATCAAGTACTCAGGCTCCGCATAATAGTCATTGCCCTCTTCTACACTGTGAACACGAGCATTAACACCTTGCTTACAGTACTTAGCAAAATGGTTTTTTCCTTTACACTTCTTACAAGTCTTTCCGTATGCCGGACATGCTTCTTTTTTCCATGCATGTGCGCCACCACAATACTTGCAATGGTTTATTTGTCTCTGAGTCTGTCCTTTGTGTGGTCTCTGTTGTGGAGGGGGTCCTCTCTGGGGCCGCTGAGAATGTTTAGAGTCACGTGGAGTTTTTACACTATGAACAGAATCCTCCTTTGTGTCTGTTGATTTGCCTATTTCGGATGCTTGCTGTGTAGCTGACTCATCAGCCTTACAAATGTTTATGGCTTTTGCCAGGTTGAGTTGTGATTCCGCAAGGAGTTTGCGTCT